TCAAAAATTTCATATTGTCGCCAACACATGAAGTTGACCATGTGCGTATTTCCTCACACTGGGCGCTGCCGGCTCACTCACGGCAAGCAGTCGGTTGGGGCATAGGTACGGGCCTATGGGGCTTTCACTGAGTCGATGGAGGCCCTACTAAGGCTTGATACGACGACAACGACGATGTCGATCGAAGAACGTGAGAGGAGGGTCTTGGAGGATGTGGCCAGGGTGAGCACGTGCCGTGAATGGTGTCTCAACCGGTGTTGTAGATCCAGAATAACCTGGTGAATCTGATCATTAAGAAGAGCAAGCCAAGGCAGCTGTCGGAATCGGTCCGTGAGAAGGAAGAAGTAGGGGTAGCAGCCATGGAATGCCCCTCTGTTATCGCAAAAGCAGGTCTTCACGACTATCATCAAGGAACTCACGGCTCAGAGGGAGTGTTTCAATCGACTGCTACCATCCAGTGTATCCGATGACTCCTCCGACACTTCAGGGAGGAGTGGTATGGATAACAATAGACAGCGCCTTTCTGGGATACTCTATCAGATATTACAACGTTGTCGAAAATGCTCTATGGGTCCGTAGATGGGAGCTCAAGTCACCTTACTGTTGCTGACACTGGAGGTAGGCACATGCTTGGGAAAACCCCTAGGCAGCGTAGACTTGCCAGGAGCTTTGGCAGCCGACTTGTTGAAGGGGGTCGGGGCCCTGAGGGAAGCGGATAGAGCAGAAACCACTTGCAAGAGGAAGTGGACTGCACTACTCACGGAGCTGCGAGCACAGCAGCAGAATATCAAGGTGGCCACTTTCTGACCTGATTCGTATCTTGCACGCTCCAACCTAAGGTGCTCCGACGAGCTGTGGACGACAAGCTGAGTACGCCCATCGTTGACGCTCTCGAGAGATTGAGGGCAGATCTGAGCCCGGTCATTGGCGAGGAGGGTAGGCGCTGAGGCCCAGCTGGCTGGTGGATGGTGATCGTCGCGCAGATGGAGGTCGATCCCTCAGGGTGATCCTTGAGGCGCTAGAGGCTGCAGATCGACAACATCGGACGATGCAAAAGAGGCTCGTGAGCAGCCGCCGCCGCCCCGGGGTCGGGTCCGATGGGAAGGAGTACCTCAGATTCAAATCACTGCCAAATACGAAGCTGTAAGAGGATCACTGAAGTCGATTCAGGATACCGCAGATGAGGTCAGCAGCCGCTACTACGGTGTAGCATGTCGAGGCCTTGCTTACAGGAGAAGGAAGCACTACGAGACGCCTTGATTGAAGCGCGAACTGGCGGCGGAGCGATGCGCGTGGCTGAGCTCAACGGAGCACTCAAACACGCGGGTATAGTCACTCTTGGTCGATCTCGACTAGTATGGCTGGCGCGCAGGAGAGCGATGTGCAGCGGCACTGGAGGAGAACAAGGGGCTTAGGGCCACGCTGAGGGACCTTGTGGGCCTGGTCAGTGAGGACAAGGTCCCTGACCTCGTGCGGAGGTATCTTGATGGGAAGGAGTCGGCAGCAGTTGACGAGGAAGTGGGGCTCTGTGGAGGTGGTCTTCTATCTACTGAGTGTACTCATCAGGCCCCCGTTGGAAATGCTCGGGTGCAGATCCTTGAGGATGAAGCCTTGAAAGCTACAGAGGAGTTGAGGGCGGCTGAGAGGACCATCAAAGATCAGAGTGTGTACCTGGCCACTCCTGAGGCTAGCACTTCTCCGTCAGACGAGAGGATTGAATCCCTGCTGGGTAGGCTGCGGGACCAGGAGGCGGTGAATCAAAGCTTGATGCGGTCTGCTGCTGAGCGCCGACAGATTGAGGAGGCCCGGGTGTCGAAGAGAATGGTGGATGAGGCATGAGACCTTATCGCGGCCGTGGTAGTTGTTGTTACTGCAGTTGCTGTCGGCCAGAGACAGTCGGATCGCCGCTCTCGAGCTGGAGGTCCGGACCTTACGGCGCGAGTTGGGCGACCAGAGTCGAGATTATGGAAGTAATAGCCCAAGATGGTGTAGGCCTCACTCTTCCCAGGGCTTGATATTGATCGGTCGGATGAGGAGGCGACCAGAGGCTGTAGCATGAATGGGCATCTCAACGAACGTCTTCAGGAGAAGTCGTGTCCAGTTGACGTGAGTTGTTGTAGAGACGGTAAGCGTAAGCGGATGAACTCCGTATTACAGATGCCTTGTTCACTCCCCTTTACTATTGATAAGCATCTTCGACCTGTGGGTATCCCCCATCAGATCGAAGTAAGAGATTCTTCGAGGCCTCCTGTAGTAGTTCACATCAGAGAGTGTTGACGAGCGAGCCTCCGTCCTCTACGCGGGTTGGAGATGTATTGCAATTGTATCGTCAAGAGCAGCGAGAGGGCCCTGAAGCTGCAGAGCCGGCTATAGCGCGCACTGATGATGAACCTGGACCGCCACTGAAGGGAAGGTGTTGGCCGCGTTGAGTGTCGCTGGTAGGGTTCTTTAACAGGCAAGACGAGACGGTAGGGATGCAGATTGATCGAGAGCTCCAGAAGGAATGCCGTGCTGAGAGCATCCCGGGCAGCGGCGTGTATGAGGATGACGATGGAATCAGTTGCCTCTTCGACAAGCGCACGGAGTCTGATGCCTTCGAGTGAACTTTCCTCATAATGGCTGCTATGAAGTCGACTTCAGCTTGACGAGAGATATTATGATGATTTGTTGTTTGGCATGACTACGTGTATCATGTGTATATGTGATAATTTTCTTTCCTCGAAGTGACTCCGCGTAAGACTCTCCGAGGAGGCGCTCGGGTGGTATATGGTCTCTGTGATGTGGACTCACAGCACAGGATTTCGTGGCGCGCGAAGGTACAGCAAGATCGGCGGTTTCATTGTCCACAGCAGCTGCTCCTACCGAAGCCTCATTCATCTGTTCGACTCTCAACGACTTGTAGTTGATTATCCCAATGCCAGCCCTCCTATCGAGAATTGCGTCTTCCATGACTCCAATGAAGAACGAAGATGAGCTGTCCTCCAACAGTAGCGGCATCGTACTCAAGCTCGGGGCTACCACTGCGCGTCCGAAGGTCCGGGCCTTCAGGATTGAGAGTTCTCGAGGTTAGTAGTGAGTAAAAGCTAAGTTGGTGACAGTCGTTCTTTGGGCAGGCAACAGCTACTTGGTGTATCGCTCCCACAGGCTGTTCTCGTCCGCTGCTGAAGTGAAGCTCCCTCTCCCGAAGTTCCGTCTTCATCAGCCACGAGCCGCTACCCCATATGAGATCAAGTGTCTGGTAGGAAGGCACTCGCTGAGATGAGGATAATCTTCTGGTGTCACCACGCAGAAGAGCAGCACGATAAGCCGGAAGGTGTATGGCGCGGCGGGCCTCGAGCCGAGTCGGTGCTTTGACGCTGAGTTGTTGATAGGATCGAAGCCTCGGAAGATCACCGTGTTTGCCGTGTGAGTATCTCTCGAGTGTTCTTTTGTCTGAGGTGATCTACCTCAGGTCAGATGCGTCGTTGGTCTCCCTCTATACCTGCCTGTCAGCTATGCAGAGAGGTGTTGGTCACTCTGTATACCTAGCTCATTATTCGACTTCTCTCAGCTCATCGCGATGATGGTGGGGATATGGCGGCAGCTTTCGGAGACCTCTTGTCCCCGGTCCCCTCGGCCTTCGCCCCCAGTCTCTTTGTGAGGTGTTGGTAGACTTGTGACTTCCACTGTGACGGTCTCAGTCAAGCGCGCCAGACAGCGCTCGAAGTTGGCGGTCGAATGTGAGCTCTGTGGTCCCCTCTAGATGCGAGGGGGATACTGGGACATCGGCGGCGCCTATTATAGATGGTAGGTGTGTAATGCTCTTTCCAGTCCTGAGTTGTCCATACATCCAGTCGGCCATAAGCACGATGGTGCCGAGCCACGGGCGAAGTCTGAAAGCACCGTGGTTGTGGACACTCCGGAGGTCGAAGCTGCCATGGGGGAAGCCTCAGACCGTCAAGCTGTTCCCTCTTCCGAAGTACCACCTTGAACTCGGTCACCGGTCTTTCGCTTTGTATCTTCAGAGAACTCCTGCAAGCACCGTCATTGCATGGCATACCCAGGGCCCTACGGTCGAGCTCGCGGAGGTGGTGGTTGGGGAGAACAACGACGATGATGGGATGTCTGAGCGGCATTCTCCAGTCTTGGAGGTCGCTCGAACTCGATCACTGTGCGTTGTAGGTTTGCGGCGTCAGGTGACCACCGCAGCAGGCAGGGATTCACTGGATGAGCACCCCGTGATGGAGAGGAAACGGACGTCGCCCTGCGCTGAAGAGGATGACGCCAAAGTATGCTAAAAGGACGAGGTCACTAGTGATACTGCCTGTCTAACAGAGGAGGCGATTGAACGAGATCGGCGTTATGCCGGAAGCCTCGCTTGAGGTGGATCGGGATGGGTGCGTTGCGACCTTGGGCTCCGTTGATTTTCCTCACGGCTTGAACGACGGAGACGCCACCGAAGCTGCTATGGTTGCTGGTATGACGTCGGTCGTGGTTGAATTACAACGCCTTGAACGTGTCCAGGCTGCCATGGCCTCAATGAAGTCGATGCTTCCTATCCGGGGCAACGCATAGATTCCCTGGGTTCGGAGGAAGCTGAAGCAGGAGCCTCTGTGATGGGAGGTATCATTTCGTGACAAGCGTCTACGAGTAGCACTTCTACAGATACCGTTCAAACTAGCCTTGCAGTGAGGCATCCAAAGGTAGTCCCCCTTGGTGTTCCGTCGGGTGACTTGCGGTGGCCATGAACAGATACGCCGGGACATCGGTATGCAGTCGAAGGGTGATGATGTCCTCACCGTAAAGAGGCTTATGCTGCTGCTCTTTTTCACGTGCGGTTCCGCGGTGTCGCAAGTCTTACATCCGTATTGTATCTATTGAAGGTATACCTTCGGTGTGTTTGGTGCCGGCTCGATGTTCTGCAACGGCATCTTCTCGCTCCTGGTGGCCATCAGTAGCCTTACTCTGGTTGTTCATCAAAAGCGAACTAGTAAAGGGGAACGTTGATATGGTCGAGTTGATGGTGTTTCTTCAGGAAGGATACGCATGTTGAAGTCATTAGTTGAAGTTGATCGTTGTGATAGACCTAGCTATTAAGTAGATGGATGTGCCTGGTCAGCAGCTGGGGCGTGAGAAATTAACGGTGAAACCGTTTGTACTTTAGTCTACTGCATGCAAGCGCCATAGTGCAATGTCGGTCTCCGTCTGTGTCTGTGCTGTGTTCGGTCAATGCCTGATCTACGAGAAGTTGACACGTATGTCATGAATCGGTTCATCACAGATGAGATGTTACTCTCTGAGGAGGTCCTCGAATCTCTGACGGCGGCGTAAGATCTGCTATCCACCGTGTTTCCCCAAGATAGTGTAATGGAGACGCCGCCATTGTGACATGTGCAGTTACGAGGAACTTGTGGGAAGCAGCGGTATATTGGACAGGGAAGGTCTGCATAAATTGCTCTCAGCGATCGGTTGTAAAAACATCACTGATGAGACTGTGAATAGGCTAGGTGGGGTAGGATAAGGATGGGGCTGCGAGTTCATTCGTGGTATTCTAGCAACGTTGCTCGCTGGAGATGTTGGCGAGATTACGAAGAGTGGTATCGTGCGATTTGCTGCCGACTCTGTGCCATCTTCCCGAGAGGCTCTAGTCGAGACCTGGCAGGCGTAGAATACTCATGAATGCATCAGTTCAGTTGATTGCCTCCCAGCTTGCTAGGGGCCAAGGACCGAACGGAGGAGACGTCGTTGAAGGCAGCTGACTTGCATCGTTGCATGGTTACGATGGGAATGCCGGTAACAACGGCAGCTTGCGAAGATCTTGTCCGATCGTACGGTTACAGTGTCGGGATGTCATCATCACAGTATGCTGAGTAGATACGGTTCGGCGGCTCCTGGTGAAATCAACATGGAGGAGTTCATAGCAATGTTAAAACTGTGCTGAGATCATATCTTCCCTTATAAAGCAGATTCCTCTCGGGTTATCTTCGACTTCGTTCGGATCGAAGCGATAGTTGATCACATGTCCAGCTCAGCGGCTACGTCTCTCCATGACAGGCTGCAGGAGCCGAATTAAAGACGGGGTTGTATTCTCTTAGCGGAGCGAGACTAGTGGCTACTGCCACCGATATCCAAGCAATGATGGTCGAGGTCGGCACTGAGCTGACAGAAGAGGTGAAATGATTGAGAAGTACTTGAAGAAATGTATCCATTGTGCTCATATAGGAGGCTGCTCGAACACGATCGTGCCGACAAAGGTGAGCTGACACTGGAGTAGTTTGTGGCCATGATCGCGGATACTAGTCCAACAGTGAGTATATCTAAGATGATTTGAACTACTAGACATGAGTATGTATGAGACTGTTCTCTCGCGCCACCTGTATTGAATTACGTGTAGTCCGCGTCGACGTCGAGAGGGGAGAAATCTGACGATTCGAGTAGCTCGTGACATGAACTAACTCGAGGTGTGGGTTAACAGTACCACGTACTCCGATGAGGACACAACGTTATCAACAAAGCACCCATCATCCACTCTTAAACACAACATCGCAATGAATGAGAGAAGATGATCGACTAAAGAAGCTTCATCCGAAAGATATGCTTCGTACAAAATAGATTGACCCCAACGGCGACAGACTATCTAGGATGATTTCTCACGGCACATTATCATCAGTGATGGGCTCTGATATTTGACTCCTCCCCAGTACAACGTCTGAGTCTCCTCCAAAACTGGAGTATGAAATGATACCTCTGTGCCACGATGTACGGACGATCATCCGGAGAAAAGCTGGTCCGTTTTGAAGGACGAGCAATTAAGGTTGGATATGTTCCGACATACTTATGATAGTTACTCGAAGATATTTCAATGAATGTTACGAGGATTGTTCTCATTGGCAGCTATAGCATGCCACGATGAGAATCCCAGGCACAAGGCTGCGGCGAACGTATTAATGAACGAAGCGAGCTTTGCGCCTGAGCACGACTATTGTGAAAATGCGAAAAATGATCAACATGGCGAGGAGAATACCCATATCAAGACCGACCAAATTGGCGTATATCGAGTTAATCCCAGCAAGAGTCGGCTTATCAAAACCAAACTCAATGAAGTAACCAAGGTTCACGCCGTACTTGAGATAGGATACGTACTGTCCCCAGCGAAGCCATACAGGGATCCTCTCAAGATTAATGAAAAGGCCTGAGAAGACGATTTGGGGCATGAAGAGGAGGGGCATCAACTGCATAGCTCTGTTAACAGTTGAAGTTGTAGCACCCATTAGCTGCGCAAGGGACGAGGATACCAGATGAAGTAGCCAGAGGAGCAACAACCAGAACATGAAGTTGCCTTGAAGACCTACGATCCAGTAGAAGACTACAATCTGGAGAAAGCACTCGAAGAGTGCTAACGGTAGTTCAATCATACTCTTCGATATGACATAGGGGATCGCTGAATACATGCCGCTGGTGTACTCTCTCAAGAAGACCATGCGTTGCTCAGGGTAACGGATTATCGCTGTTTGAGCTGGTCCGAACAGTTGCGTCAGACACATGATCACTACAGCAGAGAAATAGGGCTGAAAGAGTCGCATGTTAGTCAGCCAGAACAGCTCTGATCCTGGTCTACCGGAGTCATGAAAGATGGATGCCGACAGGAGGTTAGTGCACATCACGACGATATAGCGTACGATGAAAACGTCTGGGTCCCTTACAACTGCTCTGAACTCGCGTGCTGCCAGCATATGGAACTGCTTGTGAAGGCCGGCACGATACGGTGTGTTCATGGTGGCTTTGACGACTCCATTCTTCATACCATCTCCAGTAACGCACTTCGCATCAGCATCGACCATCCCAGCCTTGTATGCGTCGACTAGACGGCTTATGACTTCAGGTGGCTGCGTCTGGAGCTTGTAAAGAGCGAAGTCACCGAGATTGTAATGAGGTGGACAGCGCAAGTCCGCATGACTCACGAAGTAGTCTTCGAGAGAGGTCCTCGGGCCATGGTACACTATCTCGCCCTCGTTGATGAGCATGACCCTGTCGAAAAGCTCGAAGACTTCGCTTGAAGGTTGATGAACTGTCATAAGGACCGTTACACCGTGTTCAGCCAATCCTTTGAGAACCCTCGAGGTCGTCACCGCCGCATAGGAGTCCAACCCGGTCAAAGGCTCGTCCAAGAATAACATACTTGGTTGTGTTATGAGCTCCATCCCAATAGAAGTCCTCTTGCGCTCACCGCCTGATATTCCTCGAGTTAGTTGATTGCCCACCATCGTATTCTGACAAGTACTCAGACGGAGATACTCCAGCATATCGTTGACAATAGTTTTGACCTGAACACGGGGCAAAGTCAATCAGACCGTTTCTTGAGACCATCTATATATCCTCACCTCATGTCTGCTTTTGTCCAACTTGAGTGTAGCAGCGAATTCGAGTACCTCTCGAGGGGTGCTCGTCGATACCAATGCATCTTCTTGCATCACATACGCGACGCTGTCACGGAACTTCGACGGCGCCGTTATTCGCCCATCCAAAGTCACCGTGCCGTCGACCTTCAGACCGCCACCCGAAGGGTTCTGTCTTCCACTTAGGATGTTCATCAGAGTAGTTTTACCCGAGCCCGACGGGCCCATGACGGCTGTGAACTCTCCCGGATGAATGATTCCAGAGCAATCTTTCAGGATCTTGCGTCCTCCAGCGGTGAAGTTGATTCCCCTCCATCCAAGCGAAGGCACGCTAAAGCGGACAACAATAATGCAGGCATAGGGTGGCGACAGAGCTCACCGTTCAGGAAGCGGGAAGTGCAGACCATGACCGGGAGACATCTCGAGACCATCTTCCAGGTCCCCCCCTTTGTGTCTTGGCGATGCCATTCAACAATGAACTACTCAAAGCTGCAGTTGTCCCTTTGGAGTTGAAAGTTCGAACAAGACCTTGAAGGAGCTCGAAACATTCGACGGAGCTCGCCGAAATTTCCAATCTCCAACGCCGCGCCCGCTGGGCTCGAGGACCTTCCGAATGAGCTAATCGAGACAGGAGATTCGAAGACCTCTCCTCGAAAGAACAGCTACGACGAGGAGTCGCGGCCTAGGACAATCAATATAGGACATATGTCCCCAAGCCTGGGCCGGAGAATAAAAGGCAACGAAATGAGCGGCTGCAGGATGGGCGATCGTCGGCGTTGCAACAGTAATCGACCACAGAGTCGACTCCCTGCTGTGCCAATCTACGAACTCAAAGTGAGGAAGGCAGACGGAAATCTTATTCCGAAATGTGGGGTGGAGAAGTATAAAAGCTCCACAGCGTGACGTACGGGACTCAAGTCCCGATCACGGGACAGGTACCCGATTAACTGATACCGTACCAGCTGATACCGTACCAGTGTGTTGGGGTTCCAACCATACTAGCAACGCGACGAGGTAAGGATATGTGTGTGCTGCACTTAGATCTACTTCTAAGCTGTTCTGCTACGTATCGATCAGGCTATAGGCGTTGCCGGAATCTACGAAGAGCTGAGCGGAGAGTGGAGACTCCTTACATAGCAGTAGCGGGCCCCACACGCGGGTCTGTCCCGTCGCTTAGCCCACTGAAAAAGATCTGTCAGTTACCCGGGATTTGCTCGGACTATCGAAGCACCCACGATTCGGGGACCACAAGTGGCCAAGCTCACTCGCCGACTCGAATCACTCATGCTAGACTTGAGGTTAGCCTGTAGTGAGACTTTCCATCATTGAACGTGTCACGTCTCGGGAGGGCGTGTTGTAGGGTTCGGGACAGATATGAACTAAGTGGTGATTCTAGTGCTCAGATGAGGTAACACAACCCAGAGGGACTTTAGTATAAGTTGTTGGATGAAGTAGTGAGGTTGGAGTGACAAAGAGGAGCGCCAACAGCTGGAACAGCCACCAACTACGACCAGCCTCCCCGATTAGCTATGGATTGAACAGAGCACGCAAGTACAAATGACTGCGCAAGATCCCACTACATTCTACCCCTTCTTCGACGAGAACATATCACAGAAAGTTCAACATCAAAAATCTGGGTCCAAAGACATCGTCACATGGGGATCATAATCTTCAAGACTGAAATTATACGGCTCCAACTTCACATGGGACTCCCCAGTAAGACGTAAATGTCCATGAGGTAGTCTCTCTGCGGTTATCGACAATGGAAAGATAATCTCACTATCCAGAATCCAATCCGGAGGCGACCTTTCCTCACATATGACATCACTTCCGGGACGAACAACTTGATAAAATCGAACCAAGTGCTTTTTTTCGCCTGTAACAGAACTGCGTAATAATTCACCAACCACATATCCAACACCCAAAGCATCTTCGATGAAATAAAGACGAGGATGGACTCGCTGAAGCCAACCATAGCGATCTACAGTCAACGAGATCGTATGATGTGCAACATTTTTTAAATATCCTCGACGGTAACCCGGATAGTTCATGATGAGTTCCACCGCTCTTCTAGGACTCAGACCAACTTGGGCTGGACATGCATCAAAGAGTGCGGTGATCATTTCTCTATCCTCTCGGGTTGTACCAATACCCACAAAATCTTCCTTGGAACTCCTATCTACCAAAGCAAAAGTTTGTTGAGGATCAGATGATCTTCTCGAGATCTGAACGACTTCTCCTTCCTGAGCATCTACGATGTTGGAGACATTGGGTTCTCCCGTAGACGGTATCGGAGACTTCTTTATCGGCACCGGTACAGTCGGTACAGGAATATGAGGGTCATCGATAATATTACCAGCTTCTGATATAGCGGGAAGATTAACAAGACCATGTTGGTTATCAATGACAGACCCTTCGACAATAGTGGAGTTAAGGTCCCCAGATAAGTTCAAGTGAATCAATCTATCCACATTGACTCGAGTACCGGTAGTAGGAGGTCCATGAGGAACACTTTTGAGAAGTACGGTATTGTTGCAAGGATCACTTACAATATAAGGACCGCGCCACTTCAAACTCAGCTTCGATCGTCGTGGCGGAGCCCGTAGGCCAACAAAATCCCCCTCAACGAAGTCCGGTACGGATCGGTTTTTATCATACTTGTTCTTCGCCTTCAAGCGAGCATCTAGGAGGGCAAGACGGACACATACGTGAGCAGTCTTCATAGATTCCACCGTATCAACTGCCATAGAATCTATCTCCAGATCTGAAGGCTCGCATGAAGAGTCACTGCCACTCTTCAACAAAAGGTCAGGCAGAGTGGGTGGATTCCGACCACCATGAGTAATAAAATACGGCGAAAATAACCGACCATTACCAGGATTCGTGTTATGAGCGAATGTAACCGGCTGCAAGAAGTGTGGCCATCGATCCTCACGACCGCTGCAGAGTATGGCAAGAGCATCCATCGGGAATCTATGAGCACGCTCACAGTGTGAGCCCGGCCAAAGTCGGGCTCGGGACCCGAACTCTAAGCCCGATTCGCTAGAATGTTGGCCCGAGCTCGAAAATGGTCGGGCACCGGGCTCCGGTCGGGTCCCGAGTAGCCCGAAGAAAAAATTTTCGCGCTCGCCCTTCGGGCGCGCGTACTATTCGTAGTAGTGACGCAGCGATCTGCGCCATTCCCATTATGAAACGTGCACCCTTATCCTCATATTCTCGATCAAAATCATAAGTGCATTCAATAGTGAACCTTCAAGTGCAGCTATCCGGTGTTGCATGGAGTTCAAATCAATTAGTACCAGGGTATGGACTCCGAACTTAGGATTCGATCGGGCCTGGTAGTCGATCCCCCTCGCTTCAGTGTGAGTCTCACACTATGAGATTAGTTTAGTCCATTTTGCCATAGTCTGGTCGCTAGCGGGACATGTGTGACAGCTCGTTTATAACGAATCATAGTTCGAGTAAATGCAGTCGTCATCATCGTCTTCTTCGGGCAACGAAATACCTATCATCTCTGAAACGGCTGCGGATTTCGCGGCCAGAGCCATGCTGCTGGAGCTGCAAGATGAAGAAGTCCGTACCACTCAAAAGCTTACTAATCAGCCTAACCTACTAATCAGCGAAATTCCGATTCAGAATAGTGCCAGAACTAAATTTTAGTTCTGGCACTATTCTGAATCAGAATCTCTGAGAATCATATTCGGATTCGGATCCGGGGTTTCATCACTCTGAACTTCAGGCAACTCGAAAAAGCATGGCGCTTTCTCTCCAAGGAATCTGACAGTGATCAGCCGGAGATAAAGGATGCCAAAGATATAATGCGAGAAGCATTCCGTCAAAAGGTAAGAACTACTGAATAGTATCTATTAGATACTATCTAACCGAGTCATTTCTTTGAGTATTGAGATCCTGTCACAGGTTATACTCCGTCTGACCACCGATAGTTTGCTTGGATGTCTTCTCGACCCACGAATGAGTGTTGTGGCACGTTGGTCCGTGAGGCTTCCGCATGCTCCGACTGCCGAACGCTACTCGCCATCGTATAAACAAGCAAAGAGAATACTTGAGCTTGAGCCAGATGGCTACGGAGTATACATGCAGTCACTGAATTAGCAATAATACTCAATACTCAATATATAACGAATCATCACGGCTTCGGGGCGTTTCTCCAGGGCGAGCAAGTAGACTATCACGGCTGGTCATCAGGCGTGACATGCCCCTCCCCGTAGTCCCAAGTCTCTTGAGAGAGAGCTAGCCATTCACGGGCGGACACACCTTCATCTGCAACGTCCCACACGATGAGTACACGATCATCTTCGCTTCGATCAACCAAGATGGTACCCCAATGATAATCCCGGAAGCCATCGGCGTGTGACAGCAGGACTCTAAGTCTAGCACCGACCAGCGTGGGACCTGCGTGCACTTCACAAGCAAGCTTCAACGGGTGCAGGTTGTAGTGATTCTCGATGGTGATCCTCTCTGCTCCAGCCCGTGGTGACGAGTGCAATACTCTGTATCTGTGCGTAGATAGGCAGCTGACAACCCATCCGGTTCGCCAGCATGCGTCCTGCTTCCGCGACGGCTGATGAATGATGACCGAGTCACCCACTCGGAAGGGTTGCGTAGGGCGGCTACCCCCGCTTAACGTTTCGAAGACTGCTCGACGACGGGCCGGAAGGTAATGGTTGACGAATGATCTCATTAGATGTGCGCGACGGCCGACGAAAGCAGACTTCTCAGCATCATCCATCGCCTCAGAACTCCCTGCAAGATCCGGGGTGATCAACCCCACTCCTTGGTGACCTCTCAATGAATAGCCGAATCGCAAAGAGTTCGGGGTGAGTGCGACTACCCGAGCGTCCTGGGTGACGTCGCCGCTAGTCAAAGGACGCGAGTTGATGATACTGCACACCTCGTCGCAGAAGTCCTGGGCAACAACCGAGTTTCCCCAGTCACAGTTCCTACTGTAGCCGTGAAACAAGACTCGTGCTGCTTTGAGCCCGATCCGGTGATGAGTTTCGAACCCGCCGGCCCAAGGGGCTCTTGGGTCCTGCAACACGACTTGCGCATTCAGCCGTCTCCCTACCTCCATGGTGTAGGTCCTGCTCCCTACCGCTCCATCACACACTATGTACCGGAACCTGCAACCGCCTTGCCGGCGAGCGACCCTCTCAGTCGCCTCAAGCAGTTCTTCAGCCGTCTGGCCGCCACCCAGCGCGATCCAGCAGGCGTGTTTCGTAAGGAGGCAAACGCACGTCAGGCACTTGAAGGGCCCAAGGGATAGGACGTCGATGCCAACCCAGAGGTAGGGCTCGGGGGTTTCGAGGGCCAGCCTGTACAGGTCGAATCCCGGGCCTCCCCCCGCTTGGCCGGGAGTGACCGCCCATTCGCGCCTACTGCTCAAGACCTGGCATCTCACACATGTCGCCATCTCGTTGGTGACCACTTGTCGGAGCCTGGGAGTAAAAAACCCCGCCTCAATAGCACGTTCAACGGTCGCCTGGGCACTGCAGTGTGCGCCGGCCTTATGGTAGACCCGCGCCAGTAGCCGGCGTGTAAAGTTACAATCACTGGGCACGTAAAAGGCGAGGAACAGCTTGCCATCCGCGCCCGCGCACTTGTAGAAAAGTGTGCCATCCTTATCGACATGGAATTTGGTAGGTAGCTTCCGGTTCTCCGCATCATCCACTACCGCGGCACGCGATGACCGCTGTAAGGATCGTATGAAAGACCAGACATCCTCGTCACTGTAGGCCGTGGGATAATCCAACGGTATAGCCACTGATCCCGACCACGCCTGAAAGGCAAAGCGGAGCGTCTTCCATCCATGCAGAGCGCAGTCGACATCCCAGCTCCGAGAAGCCACGGTGTCGGCCAGGCCAACGGAATGTGTCTCGACCGGGGTATCACATTCCTGTAACTGACAGACTCGGTCGAAAGGCTGACCGATAGGCTCAAACTGGGGGACGTCGACCCTCTTGGCAACTGGCAGCTCACCCAGACGGCAGACAAAATCGTCCAGTTCCTGAGCGACTCGCACCGGTGGGTCGAGATGGTCTTGCATGAGCCGCCCTAGCTGAGACCCACCCCTGGTCTTACGCTCCAGAGCTCTCGAAAGCCTGTCGGCTCGTACGTTTAAGACTCCGGGGAGATGCCGCATACTGACTTCTACCCCATGGGCTTTGATCAGCACGATCTCAGCCCGAATTGCTGCCGCCAGTCTCTGCAGTGCCCGTGCTTCCAGTGCACGAGATACCTTGACGTCGTTGGCCCACCGAGCACAAGCGGCGTTGTCCGTCCGTATAACCAGAACGGCTCGATCGGGACTTGACTGCGAGGAAATCCAGGCTGTGAGTAATGTGCTGGTGAAGAGGATGCCACGCCACAGGGCCGCCAGCTCCCTTCTGTTACTGTGCCAACAGCTGGATCTCGCAGTCCACCGCCATGCCGCACTACCCAATTCGAATGTACCACAGTCGCCGACTTGAGCACTATCCGAGCCTACCCACAGCGAGAAGCCACCTCCGGTCAAGCTGGCATCAGTCTCTAGGATCAACCTCACCGGTTCGCTCTTGCAGGATCTCAGTAGCGACCGGTGCATACATTTATCAGCGGGAGTGAGCTCCCTCAGCCAGTCAAGTATGGCACAGTACGCTTCTCTCAAATGGTCGGACAGCTTGCCGATGTCGTACTCCGTACCCCAAGCTAGATGACTAAAGGCTCGTCCCACTATGGCTCGAAGGCAATCCGAGACCAGGCGCTCGATCGGATGGATTTGTCCCACATCATACGCAGCCGCGCCAGCCGCTTGGAAGGCCAGACGTTTTGTCGGTGAGCGACACTCGAGAAATGCCTCAACTACAGACCACCGAGACTGTCGATTGCAGTCGAGAACTAGGTGGTTGTCGTCGAAGGAAGCTGTGAGGCCAAGAATCTCAACCCGCTCCTTCACCGGAAGCTGAACGCCGTATTGACGACACGCCTCCTTGAACTGGTTGACCACTGAGGAATGGACCAGGGCGGCCACCTTCGCCATCTGTGCGCTGAAACCGAGGAGCAGTAGAGCATAGATGACCATAGCAAACCCTGCGACTGCTATCGCCACATCGTCTGCCGACATGACGAGGTCGTCCACATACCACCGGATCACCATGTTGACTAAGGGCCACAGCTCAGTCAGCACGTTGCGGATGCTAGTCTCAATCCGGTGAATCCCTGTCGTCAAAGACCCAGGGCCGAAATGGAGGCCAAAGCTCACTCTCAGACACTCAAAGAGACCAGTAGCCGCCTGAATCAACACAGTATGACGCAAGAGCCTGCATTTGTAAAATGCGGCCTCGCAGTCGCCTTGTAGCAGCACAACATCTCCCTGCAAACGCATCGCGAGGATCAGAGTCCAGGGGATGACCCGTGGACTTGAAACTTTGCCTAAAGCTTGGTTAACCGGTCTACAGTCCAGCACCACCCTAGGCTTTCGTTCCCAGTTCGTGACGAAGCATGGACACGGCGGCAAAGTGATCCTAGTTGAAGTGACCTCGTCACCGGACACAGGCCGCCAGAAACCTCTCGCCACGTATGCCTCGATGAGCTTGCTGTACACTGATTTCTGGCCCTCTGCGAGCTTCTTGTAGGCATGCAGTGCATATAGACGGCTTTTGGCAGTGGCTATTGGAGTATCCGGGAGATCTACGAAGAGGGCCGCCACCTGTTCGACACAGTCCGGTTTGTCCTCTTTACTGAGGTTACGAAAAGCAAGTCGATACCCTGGCAAGGTTGGCTCTTGGAAAAAGCCCTCCGCGACCGAACGGTTTATCAAGGCCTTGACCTTCTTGGATAGATCTTCAGGCAAGGATGGCGTTAGATATTCCGTCGTGCATGCATCGACAAGTCTGGGCTGGGCAGCAGTAGTGGCACTGAGTTGATCAACATACCGAACGAAATCGGAGTTGTCCACGATAGGTTCGTCGGCTGATTTCTCAGCGCTGCGAACAACACCTGCACCCAGGTCCAAGCAGAGGCCCAAGGCTGCTCCGAGGTCGCGTCCAATCAGCATACATGTCTCGCTGTTTCGCTCATGGTTTGGCAGGACAGAGACGTTGACTGGACCGAGCGACGCCTCCAAAGGCTTTCTCACGGTCACGACAACCGCAATCATCTCCGTGATGCTACAGCGACTGCCATCAGCCAGTCCCACCCAAACCGCTGTGGGTATCCTATGAAACTTGGCCGACTCAGTAGTATGCTCAGAGGAGTTGCCGAACATTATATAGCTCTTGCCCGCCCCCGAGTCCACGACCCCGCGAATTCTTGATATACGGGCAGGTGGTTTATGGAGACCCACAGAGTTTGGCGACAGAGCAGCATCCACTATGTCGACCGAGATTGTTAACTCGGGTGGGGAGTCCAGTAAAACCGTGCGGTGTTGAATATCCAAGGCCACCGAGCATAGTCGATCCTCTACCGGATCCTTGTGCAAGGCGAGCGTGTACGACGATGGCGATGAAGGCATACTCACGGGCTGGGGGCTGATGGAGTGAGTAAGAACAGGACATGGCAGCTCTGTTCCAGAAGGCCGACTTATGTCGCATGACTTTGGTGTTGACAGACCTGCTTCCGGCTCACCTCTCGCGGAACTCGAACAGTGCGACCAGCTCATGCAAGAGTTAGTGACCTGCTTCGGCATAGCGGAGGAATACGGGTAAACAGCATCAGGAACATCTCGTCCAGCTTGAGATTGCCCAATACCTCACGTGGACAACTGCGACGGTGAACGAGAGTTATGCTGATGAGAGGGAAGAGTATTAACGATCGACGGGGGTCCCTCAACCCGCGCCGACCTTAGCAGTTTCCCGACTCCATACTGGCGGGATTGG